CCGATCACGAAAACTATCTCATGAACACCACAACAGGTTGTTTTGGGCCTCACGAAAAAGAATTTCCAAACCCGATATACGAAGAAAATGTCTGCCAACAGGCTTCAGATGACACTAGTCATGACGCCAATGTACATGAACACGAGGTTCGCAATCCTACAAATGCAGAGGAACAATAAAAAAACAGTGAACAGACCGGATCCCTCAGATGACTCCAGGGCTGACTCTGATGTACACAAGGTTCACAATCCTCCAAACGTTAAGGAACTCCATGGTAAGGCAATGGATGTTGACCTGTTATGGCTTCACCACTATGTGGTGAAGACATATTGTTTTTCCTCATGTTTCTTCTCCTCCTTCTCCCCCTCCTGCCATTTCTTTAAAATTGATTCAATGTAAAGAATTGTTTTCCCTTGTGTTTCTCTTTCTTTCCCTGCCATGTCGTAAAATGTGGTAAAGCCATCCGCTACATTTGCTCCAAGGCAAATGTCGGCCTTTCTAGTTTTGTTTCATGACAATGAGGTCCAGCTTGTGGGAAGATGCTATAGTTAATTGGTCCTGCGCATTGAAACCTATGCAAAAACAGGCAAAACAAGTAAAATCTGAGATTTTATACCTCCGGCGCCGCAGGACTAGGGTTTTAAACAAAGAATTTATCGAGACCGGACACCCCACTGTGCAAGGGGTCAGCTTCGTGGATGAGACCGACAATACCTAATACACGCGAAAGGTCAACGGTCGCGACCATTTTCAAGCTCAAAGGGGTGTTCTGGGGCCACCAAAAGGCACCATTTTAACGCCCGAAAATACATATACAATACAAACAAAAGAACGTGCATCATCTGCAGTCCAATAGCAAAACATATACCGAGTCTCAAAAGAATCCGTCCACCCAAACGCGAGAAACAGCTGCGAACATGAAAATCTAAATCTCTCACAAAACCCTTCCGCGGAAGGATATCTCCTTCCCCCGGAGGCAACAAGGGCATCAAATCTCACATCAAGTATCATAGATGTAGCCAATAACAATGCATGCACTTGTATACATCCAAACAAAATATATTTTTTGGGGGGCAAAAACATTTACTCCAATCCCAACACTAATATTACCATCGGGCACCATCAAGATGCCAAAAACTCTTCAAAGTTTTGTACTAGCAAATTACAATTTTGGCGTCACTCACCAAGCAGTTTGTAGGCAAGCCCCAACTTTTGCATCACCCCTTGTTATTTATACACATTCTCAAAGCAACTGTTGTCATAATCTTATGTGTATTTATAATGAAATATTTTCTTCTGGTTCTTTTATTTTCTGGATACATGTACTTGTGTATGATTATTGCGTCTGTGTCTTGCATATCTGAACAAGAATTCGGAGATCTCATACCTCCATATGTGTTTTTGTATTTTTATTTGTCTCATTGATTGATTGATTGATTGATTGACTATGGAAATAAGGTCGTAATTAGCATAATCTAGTTTAATTTATGGTTTTCTAAATTCAAATGACAATATTCTTAGTGTAAAATTCCTCTGCTTTGTCATACTTCATTTCAACATGTCCTCATTAATTATGCAAATGACATCAACATTAACATAATGTATGCAAAGGTGTTTTGGAAGGCTGTTTTGCAGTGAATCAAAGTTGCCTTCTTGCTGCTGTGGTGGTTTTCCTTCTCTTAATGGGAGGGATCACATATGGATTCATCACACAAGTCTATCTCAACAAGGAAGGCATGCAAAATGTAAGCCATGATTCAAATCTACACTTTAAGTTTTACATAACATTGTTTCATCCATTTATTCATATTTTTATTTAGGCCACACCAATTCAATTTGTTGTTTCTCAGATTTGCCCTGTCCATTTTTTTCTGATTTGCAAAAAGAAAAATTCTTTTTTGTTCTAAATTCACTGCAAAATGCTCAATGAAAGACATATTTTGGACATAAATCTATTCTTTTACTTACAAACCAGCCACTTCATGGCTCATATTGCCTTGACCTGTTTTTTATTATTATTATTTTTTTTTCGCCCTGTCGCTTCATATTTTTCCGGAAAAATCCAAGAAAGAACAAATTAAATTGGTGGCCTAACATTGTTTCAATCATTTATTCATACATTTTTATTTATCAATCCAATCAGGTACCCTAGATTGGTACCAACCCAAGAAGCAAATCTTTTTTTTGCAGTAGGAGCACTGGTGCACCTAACCTAAAAATGTAGATGCAAAATGTGGAATGTCAGCAAAACCTAATTATGACCCAGCTTTACTGCCTTTCTTAACAGCTTAAATTTTTTAGCTTACTTCAAAATTTCAAACAAGTGATACAAGAAAGGTTTTAGTATTTTTCCTGACCCGTAAATGGTAAGAATATACCGTATCTTAAGTGTACAATAGGTACATCATAGGTTCTTACAACTTCTTGTTGCTGTTTTTTTCAGGCTAGCCCTATACAAGAAGTTAACAACTTCAGCACATTGAATGCAACGGAAGTGGCAAGCACAACTAAATACACTGTCATCCAAACCTTTGATGGTACCAACCCAAAAATTATTGGGACTGTCGATGGTACCAACTCATCCATCCTTGACACTGTCAACGGTACCAACCCACCCAGCCCTGGGACTATCAATGGTACCAACCCACCCACCCGTGGGACTATCGATGGTACCAACCCACCCATCCCTTGGGGTATTCATAGTACCAACCCACCCAATTACAAAAACCAGTAAGTACAGAAATACGCCTGCACACATTATATTCTAAGGCCACACCAATTTAATTTCTTGGTTAACGGATTCGCCCGCTTCATTTTTTTCTGATTTGCAAATAAAAATAAAAATTCAGAATCAACTGCAAAATTCATATTTTGCCCTTAACAGTTGAAAACAGTCCTTTTCTTCCTAGTTGTTACAGTTGTTCCATCTTTCAATGCAGCAGTGGTATCATTAAAAGTTCAAAATTCATTGTTTAAATTTTGAACCAGCCTGGACGTGGTGTGTTGACTTCATGGGTCCTATTGTACCATTTTGGGCCATAATAGGATGCCTAGGTGTTTTTATTTTTTATTTTTCGCCCGCCCGCTCCATTATTTTTTCTAGAAAAATCCGTTGACCAAGAAATTAAATTGGTGTGGCCTAAAGGTACATTTTGTAAGATGCTATCATTGATACAGAAAAAGTCTGTGAGGAGAATACCATACGGCTGGCTTGTGCAGCGGATGAGTTGATCGTGATTGACGAAGCCTTCTACGGTCGGAGGGAGAAAAACCCTCGCTGTGGATGTAGCTGGCTCCAGAAACGTGACAACAACTGTAAACAGAAAAACAACAAGTAAGAGCTCCGTTCCTAATCTAATCCTTAGATCCCACCCTCTCAAAGATCAGTCCTCTTATAAGCCTGGGTCACAACCCACCGTGCATGCTTTTTGTCTGTACGTTTTTTGGGAGGCTACGTCTGCTTTGTAACGGTTTTTGATCCACTACTGAAAACATACAAAGTTTACGGAATACATACGATCCATTACGCGGAAACATACAATCCTTGCTAATTTGGGGTCATTTAGTGACTTGCCGCCGCAATCACCGGTTCCACCAATTCCCAGCATTGCCCTGCTATATGGTCTAAAATACAGGCTACTACATGTACGTCGTGAAAGAAGCCCGCAGAAGTGCAGTTTGGGGTTTAGCAGGGCAGGATAAGCCCTTAAAATTCTTTGAAACCAAGATATTGTAGGGAGAACAGTGCTATAATAGTCCGCCATCTTGAATTTGCTGCCGATTTCACGTGATCGTGGTGCAAGTCACCGAATTAGTAAGGATCGTATGTATTCCGCGTAATGGATCGTATGTACTCCGTAAACTTCGTATGTTTCTAGTAATGGATCGTATGTATTCCGCGTAATGGATCATTTGTATTCAGTAAACTTCCTATGAGGGCCTGCAAGGGGGGGTCCCGACAACGCTCTACGCTGAATTTGGAAACCTCTCGATTACGCTTTACGATAAATTCCAAGTGGCTACAACGCATTACGTAGAATTAAAACGCCGAATACGCTCGACGCAAAAATATTAGAGCAGTCCGTCTACGCTCTACGTAGAATTAAAACGGCCCATTACGCTCTACGGAAAAGGGCTTGCGGGCCCCCTCCTATGTTTTCTAGTACTAGTAAGGATCATGTGAATTCTGTAAAATTCTGATGAATTCTCTGACACCCCTGTAGAAGGACAGTACTAAAATATTTTGTCTCTTGACACTCAGCAAACAGTCCATTGTAAGACAAAGATGCCAGGGCTTACAACGTTGTGATGTGCCAGTAGATAATGAGAACCTTGGTGACCCCTGTCCACACAACAAGAAATACCTGGAGGTAACATATCACTGCGAAGGTAGGCATCTTCTTTTCTGATAATTCATGTACCACTCTGTGCCTTAACCCTTGTCCTGCTGGCATTTTTACACAATACTTCCAAATAATTTGATAATCTTTTTTTGCCCTGCCATGCCATCGTTATTATTAGTTCTGCATTGATTGTGTTTTGCTGTGGTGTGATGCATTGCACGAGAAATACCCCTAAATATATATGGGCTCTGCAGGACAAGTGCCTGGTACAGTGGTAAAGGTATAGATCTAGAACCTGAACCTACGCACGTTTGGCCAATTATTAGATGTCTTTTTTACTGTCTAAATGTCTTTTTAGTGGTATATTGTTTTTATGGCTTCACCACAAAGTGGTGAAGACATATTGCTTTCTCTCATGTTTTTCCTTCTTCTCCTCCTCCTGCCATTTTAACAGTTCTAAATAGAGCGCTCACTGTTTCTACCACCCTCCCGAGCAGGGTCAGTGGCGCGGCCCAAAATGGCCTCCGCATCTAACTTTCTAAGATGCGGAGGCAGTTTTGGGCCGCGCCACTGACCCTGCTCGGGAGGGTGTGTTTCTACATGTTCCAACAGAAGGCAATGGAAGATTCCATTGCTGCAAGGGGGTATAGACTAATGGAACACTTCAAATTTTGGACAGGGGTGATCCATTTGTGTGGGAGAGGGGGGATAGATCCATTTTTGGTACGGGGGATGTGGTGAAGCCATTTGCTGCATTTGCTCCCGAGCAAATGTCGGCCTTTCTAGTCTTTCTTAGTTTCTACAAGGATTTATAGTACATGTATATCTTCATCTGAAAACTTTAACTGTTAAAATATTTCTCTTACATTAACTTAACTTACAATTTTTTTCTAATTTTGAAGTGCTACAAATGTAAACTGTCAAAATGGTCATGCTTGGAATAGGATCTACCATTATGTAATATACTGTACATGTATGTGTTACCTTGGTCTAAAAATTGGTGCCCACTTCACTAAGTGTTTACTGTTGTTTTACAAACAGAAAAGAAAGACAGGATCACCTTTGGTGGGGCCGGATACGGACCAGGCAAGTTTCAGACTGCAGGAGGACTTGCCGTGTCCTCGACTAACGAGATATTTGTGACTGACGAGCGCAACAAAAGAATCCAAGTCTTCAGCATGGAGGGAGTCTTTCTACGCAGTTTCTCCACAGGAAAAAAATGACACCACATGCCATATCCATAGGCCGCAACGATACCCTGTGGGTAGCTTTGTACGCAGCACAGTGGTACGCAGGTCGTGAGAGAAATGCCTTGACTGGACATTCCGTCTATCTGTACAGCAAAGAGGGCCATGTCCTTTCTAAGTGTACTTTCAGGGGTAAACTTATTAGAATCACTGGGCTTGCCTGGGACAAGCTTTCTGACAGAATCATACTATCAACAGAACGTGTGTATTTAAGATGTATAGCAGTGTGCATGGAGGCTGTGTGGTTTAGACCTATGTACACAATGACACAGGTGCCAGAATTGAGCACATTGACTGTAAGTCTTAGACATTTTTTGTCTATCGCCGTGGATGAGAAAGGAGACATCTTCATCACATACAAGCGAAACTGTGTGAGTCCTGTTCAAAAGTACGATAAAAATGGAGTCCGCCTTTCCAGTTTTGACATGAAAGCAGGTGGTCTTTTACATCCCACAGGGATTGCTGTGGACAAATTTGGCCGCGTAATTGTGGGTGATTTTCGGAACAGCAAATTGGAGATGTTCACAGCTGAGGGAAAACACATCCGCACCGTCGCTTACGTGCGATACCCTTACCGTGTGGCTACAGGTGGGGAGGGGCAGCTTGTTGTGTTGCATAGCTCTCGGCATAACATTGTAACCATCTTGCAACATATTTAACACCAAATCATTTCCTTGCTTGTCAGACATTTTAAAGTAAAGATTCAGGAAGAGGACCGCACTTAGGGCCAGTGTACAGAAAGTGCGAAATGAAACGAAATGGAACGAAATGAGACGAAATTGAACGAAATGGAACGAAATGTGTATGAAGGAAAACCGTTAAGCCATTCGTACGTTGGAACGGTGACGTCAGTGTCCACTCAACGTCCAAACGGCAACGTTAATATTGTTGGTATTCTAAGAACGGCTTTCCTTCGTACACATTTCGTTTCATTTCGTTTCATTTCGTTCCATTTCGCACTTTCTGGGGTCCCCTTAGGGCTGGAAGGAAAACTTAAGAGTCTGACAACATCGTCTTCACTTATTTGCATATCAATCAATAGCTAATTATAACCTGCACTTCTCCTCTGGTCTTTCAGTCACTGACGAAAGCTTAAGTGGATACTAGCTGAAACGTCTGACCGTTCCCAAAATCATATCCAGTTGCTTGTTGTAGTGTAACTGATTTTTGGCGTATCTTATTACCTGGATGTCTAACCTTCATCGACGTGTCTGACAACATTCACTCCTGAAACAATGTATACCAGGGACAGACTTGCTTCTTGTTGTACCAATAGAGTGACTGTAAAATAATCTAAAATCAGAATCAGTAGCAATTTTTTTTGACATTAACCTCTATCAAAGTACTGTACCAAAGTTTCATGTAAATTTCTAGTGTTTTGTTAGTGTTTCTATCTCAAGTTCATTCAACATTCTACATATAGGATCACAACAACTGAGGCACTGTATATACTAAGCAGAGTACTAAAAAAAGTTACAAAACCTGACTAGACAATTAATCACTGTACCATGAAGTGTATAAGACAATACTGTAATTCATCTTATGTTCACGGTACGTAGGAAAAGTTCTGAAAAAAGTGGACATGTTCACGGAACCATATATTCACGGTGGCGCCAGGTGCAGGGAAAAAACATCCAGGAATTATTTGTTAACTGTAATGATAAGTTAACAGTACAGAAGTGACAGTTAACATAAAAGTACCGTGAAAAAATCAGGAATTACAGTAATAGAACAGGTAATCATACATCAAACGGTTCCTATTGTCATTGATTTCGCCTAGGGCTGGAAATGGGTGGAGTTGTAGACCATGCCTTTTATTTCTTGTCAGTTCTCAAGGGTCTGATGACTTAATTTGTGCACTGGGGGTCACCACCATTCAGTAGATCAAGTTAATAAGAGGGCCTGCAAGCCCTTTTTCGTAAGGCGTAATCAGGCCGTTTTAGGCTTCGTAATTCGTAGGCAGCCTCCGCAAAAATCAACGTAATTCGTAATTGGACATTAGCAGCAAATTGTAAAGTCGTAATCAGCTCTGAGACTTAAACGTAATTCGTAATAGGCGGCGAAAATTTTGCGTAATTCGTAATCACTAACCCCCCTTGCAGGCCCTCAGTTAAGTCTCTGCGTCAAATACAGTTTGTCAACCCTTCCAATGTGCAGTTTTTGTCAATACACAACGTATTAAGTATGGGGCAAAGTGATGTTGTTGATTGCTTGTTAGCTATAGTATAAGATACAAGAATACAGTAATGACAGTGTCACATACAGGTCTGGGGAAGGGCTGTCAGAGGTCAACGCACACTGTCAGATAATTACTTTTTTGTCATAGTTGTTGGCTATTAATAGCTGAAGATGGGATCTCGAGAAGCTGTCTGTTAGGCCACAGCAAGTAAATTTTATGGATGACATCAGCGTGCACATTAATTTTCGCCTGATTTTGGAATAAAAAACAAGAAGTTTTGTTGCCCTCTGACAGTGGTCACCATGCCGAAAATGGGCAAAGATATCTGTTGCCATGCCGGAAGGTGTATGGCAGATAACTATGAAGAGAGGACACAAGAAAAGGCTCTGAAACATTTTGTTTCTTACTTTGATGCAGTGATATGTGATGCTGGCTGTGTATATGTGATGTTCTCACTGAATCAAAACCATCTGACTGTATTATAATAGAGTCAAAATGTGATGATATAATGTAGGATTAGGAAACTTGTTTTTTTGGCCTGCCTTGGTTTTTTCTGCCTGATCGCATTAGATTTGGAGTCTATAGAGGATGTCATCCATAAAATTTACTTGCTGTGGCCTTACCTGAGTGTTGTGGGTCACTACAGTTCAGCACATTGTGTCAAGCTCATGTGTTCTGAAAATATATCAAAAATAATATGACTTAATCCTCGATGTTTAAGACTTTTGCACCATCAGGAGGACAGAAGCTAAGAATAAATAATCATGTGTGAGATATTCTACGTTTGTCGATCTTTCCATTTCGCTATTTTGTTCAATATACATGTATAACGTTAGGCAACACCATCTTAATTTGTTGTTTCTCGGATTCACCCTGTCCATTTTTTTCTGATTTGCAAAAAAAAAAAATTCTTCGTTCTGAATCAACTGCAAAATGCTCACTGAAAGACATATTTTGGCCCCAACAGTTGAAGAAAGTCCTTTTCTTCCTAGTTGTTAGAGTTTTTCAAGGTAACAATGCAACTTCATTTCATTAAAAGTTCAAAATCCATTGTATTAATTATAAACCAGCCTGGTATGTTGACTTCATGGCTCATATCGTACCATTTCGGGCCATCATGGGGTGCCTTGGCCTGTTTTTTTTTGCCCTGTCGCTTCATATTTTTTCTGAAAAAATCTGAGAAACAACAAATTAAATTGGTGTGGCGTTATCGTCACAAAATTCTTCACGGCCTGGCCACACCTACATATCATGACCTTTGATAGATAGATAATGAGCTGCCTAGTACATATCTCTGCTGGCGGCCTGTACATTTCAGAGCGAGACACGGAAGTCAACGATTCGCACCTCTTTGATTTTTTGAAGCGAAATTCAGTAAGTCTCACCGTTCCGTTTCTTTCCATTTTCTTCGTTGACAAGCGTCACATGATCTTTATCTGTCGTTTGTCCTTGGCAACTTGTGTTGGTTTGGAACAGACAAGAATTTTGTGTACAAGTACAAATGTATGCGCAGTGTTCTCGCCAGGCCTTTTGAGCAAGGGGGCCTGATTTGGACCCCTATGCTGTGATTTGGACCCCTATGCTGTGATTTGGACCCCCTAGGTTGTGATTTGGACCCCTATGCTGTGATTTGGACCCCCTATGCTGTGATTTGGACCCCTATGCTGTGATTTGGACCCCCTTTGCTGTGATTTGGACCCCTATGCTGTGATTTAACCCCAATGCTGTGATTTAGATCCCCTATGCTGTGATTTGGATCCCCTATGCTGTGATTTGGACCCTATGCTGTGATTTGGACCCCTATGCTGTGATTTAACCCCCTATGCTGTGATTTGGATCCCCTATGCTGTGATTTGGACCCTATGCTGTGATTTGGACCCCTATGCTGTGATTTGGACCCCTATGCTGTGATTTAACCCCCTATGCTGTGATTTGGACCCCCTATGCTGTGATTTGGACCCCCTATTCTGTGATTTGGACCTCCTATGCTGTCTTTCAACCAGCATGGGTGTGTTTTTTGGGGAGAACCTTCATAAATCTTGCCCAAAAAAATGTAAACATAACTTTAGAATGAAGCTATTAATAGCAAAGGGAAAACCTTAACTTCACACAACTTCTGCAATCAAATATGCAAAGATTGAGTGTAACAAGTCGTTCGCTGTGATACAGCCAGCTGCCGCCGCGCCGCGTGCCTGTGAAGCCCATGTGTTACGGCAAAGGGCGGCCATACCGGCTGTACTGATACAGAATTGTCATTTGCATACATGTCATGTTCCATCTAGGTGAAATCCAAACTTCAGCAACTGCAGAATGAGTTCGGAAGGCGACATTTTAGGAAGACCAGCAATGTGTGGAGGCCTCAGCAGCCCTGAGTATTTTGACAGCTATCATGCTGACCGGGCCCGGGCCTGCTGTACACTGGTACATTTGATTGTTTGTTTGTTTGTTTGTTTGTTTTATTTCATTCCCCACAATGATTACACATATCATAACAAAGAATAAAATGGAAAAACAAACTTTGCAGGAGTGGGTGGGATGCACTACACTGAGCAAACCCCCTGTTTAGACCTTAATTGAATAATACATGATACTAATATGGTTACTGGAAAGGTCCTGGACTGATTTTTAGGGTACCACCCAAAAAATAAAGGACTAATCTTGGGGCTTGTTTCTGCAATTTTAAATGCCCAAAGTATGAAATACTGCTTGAAATGTGCTAATGTGAAGCAGTATGTGTCAATATCATAAAGATTGCCTTATTCAGAGTATTTCGAGTTTTGCTGCTTAGAAATCGAATTGGATGCCTTTCAGGCCTTAATCACATGATCATCACTTTTTCTTATCATAAAAACTTGCAGTTCCGAGGCGAGGCAGAGAAACGTCTTAACGATGGCAAAACGTTTGAGAAATTTGCTCCCATCTATTACCAGATGCAATCCATCTCTGGGACCATCTACCAGATTCTGGTAATGTCTTCCTCGCATTCGTTTTCTGTAATGATCCACTGCTACAATTTCAGTGTTGATTTTCTGCACATATTTAAAGTTCTCATGACACCAAAATATGACCTTATCTGATTGTAGCTGACATAACTAGTATTACCTGGCTAACAGACACATTTATGATTAATATGCACGGTCTCCTGTTACGTTTCAAAAATTTAATGCCCCGACTTGGGAAAGTCAGCACAAGCCAGTCCTGATAGACAATTTGCATCTCTACATTTTCAATGCAGTTCTATATTTTTTCCTGAGCTGATGTCACCCAGTGAATCAATTTGACCAATAGCACGAGTCTGCTTGTGTTTTCCTACTTATTATGGCTTCACCACCAGGTAGGCGTTGGTGGGACGCGGGACGCCCGCGTGATGATGACGGTGTACTGGGGGCCTGGGCCGGCCCTGCCGGAACTGTCATCTGTCAAATTTCACGACGATGACAACTGATTTCGGACCCGAGGAATACTTCTGGGTACTAGTACATGTACTTACCTGCATCTAAGGCCCCTTCCCCCTAAGGCCACAGCAAGTAAATTTTATGGAGCGGGCGAAAAAAAAACAAGGCAGGCTGAAAAAAAACAAGGTTCGTACATTTTAAAATTTTGACTCAATCATTGTACAAATGGTTTGATTTAGCAGGAACATCACACAGCCAGCACCACATATCACTGCATCAGAGTAAGAAACAAAGTATTAAATCAGAGCCTTTTCTTGTATCCTATCTTCATAGTTATCTGCCATCCACATTCCAGCATGACAACAGACATCTTTGCCCATTTTTGGCATGTTGACCACTGTCAGAAGGCCACACAATTTCTTGTTTTTTCCAAAATCAGGCGAAAAGTATTGCATGCGCGCGCTGATGTCATCCATAAAAATTACTTACTGTGGCCTTAACTGTAAACTCTACTAAATCTAAATATAGTCGCCTTATCTGTGTTTTCATCAGGTGTTTAGTTTATGTCATAACAAGCATTAGTTGCGGATATATTCAAGACTTAGCTAGCATTGACTTAGCTTGGCTGTTGTGAGATCTTCAATAAAATGGGAAAATATGGCAAACGTTTTGTGTTGACTTTGTACTTCTGTGTGTGGGAGTGCGCAAATGTTTTAGGCATACATGTACAATTTCTTGTTTTGTTCACAATTGTCTTATGTCCACTTAGATCAACATTGCCACAAACTTCAAACATTACTCAACCCTCAGACAAAAATGTTACATCCTAAAGACCAACAGCTTAGAAAAGTACTATAACAATGATTGTATTATTTTTTCGGACACTTAGATGTTAAGAATATGCTGCAACTACTTTACATTTAACATCTTTACATACGTTAAACCATGGGCGATAGGCCACCGAGTTTTTGTTGAGATCGCTGTTGCTTTGTTTTATGAACACACGTATACTGTGCACTCCGTACAAGCTTAAGATTCCCGATAATCATACACTGAACACAAACACTATGAACACGGTCCGTTGAAAGGATCCGAAGAGTCATGCACTCAACACATATATGACATAACACCGTGAACACTGTCCGTCGAAAGATTCCAGAGAATCATACACTCATTATCACATAACACCGTGAACACGGTCCGTTGAAAAATTTCCCTAGAATTCTCCGTACAATGAACCATACATATATAATACATACTGCTGGGTACTTGGTCCGCTGAATCATACTCATTACTCAGCTGTTACATCGGCGTTCATGGTTAGGAGATTAGATAGCGCAAAGGCCGACGGGAATAGAACACGTTTCGCAAACTCGAACGCGTTCGCAAAACCGCTGCTTGACTCGATAGAACCCCAAGCCGGGGCTAGCGCTAGAGGTATGATAACTTCAAAAAGATGACAGGGTAGGAAACACCTACCCGTGAACTGTGTTACCAACTGGGGTGGCAGCAAAAATGTGACTTAGAATCACGTTCGGTGTGAAGTCCCTGAGTCCCCAGACTCAGAAAACAACGATATAGTACATTTTTGAGATATTGGGCAAAACTAATCTCGTGCCTGGGAGACATATGTAGAAGTGAAAACATGTCGGTGGGGTTTGTGGACGTGTTTAGAGTAGCCTGACAGTACATTTACACATAGCATGTCAAGACTCTTGTCGGGTAATGTAGCCAGTTGTGTGCGTTTACATTTTAGAACCGCGCGGGAAATGTGGGCCTATCGTGCGTCTGATTGGCTAGCGATGATGTCATTGACCTGTACAGCAGGATTGCTGGTAACGCAGTTCGCCGGAAATTGGACTTTACAAAATGCTTCATATCTTCTTTAAAATATGGTATCATACCCCCAAAATAGTTTACATGGCTACTTAGTTACCCCTTGATTATAGATAGTATCAAGACTTTTATTTTCCTTGTGGCATTTCGCAGAAAATAGGGTCTTTTGAAATGGCATTTCGCACCTAGTGTATACTAGTACTAAGTACCTAACCAAGCTGAAGCGTTCGGAAGTCGCTGTTCGGCTCTCGGCAATCTTCGGGAGACTTCGGTATCTGTTCGTATGGTTCTTTGGAATCCTCAACAGTTTGTGACCGTGTTCAGTGTACGTATGATTCTCAGGAATCTTTCAACGGCCCGTGTCATACAACATACCAAGACGGTGTTATGTGTTATGTGACTGTATTATTCTCGGGAATATTTCAACGGACCAATGTATTGTGATGACAACGGGCTGAATGAGTAGACACACTGTATGTTCTAACATACGCGAAACAATAATAAGGATTTTAATGGTTTACAAAACAATGTATTGTTAGATCTCAACAAAAACTCGATGGCCTAGCGCCTGTGGTTAAACCTAAGAAAATATTAGGGTGCACCAGTGCACCCACAGAAAAAAATTGGGTGCACAGCTCCAAATTTGGGTGAACTAAGGTGCACATGCACCCAGTATTTCGAGCCCTGGAGAGGTAACAAAGAATGTACAACCCCACCCTCAACAGGGAAGGGTGGTTACGGGTAGAACTCTCTGGCTCTTGAGACCTTGTTGTGCTCCCAGCCCCAAGGACAGAGACAACATTTTCATTTGCTTGAGTAACTGTTTTTTGGGCGTAAAAATTATACTCAACAACTGGTCAACGTTACATTCAGTAAGCACAAGTTCTGACCAGTTCCAGACCAAAACAGTAACAACACATTCTTTTTTCAGTCATACTGGTGGCAGACCTCTGAGTACAAATTATATGAAGCATAACGTTATATTTGGCCTGGGCCTGCCTTGCTTTTTTTTTAGTTTAGGTGCGTAACAACTCTGTTACCGCCCCCCTCCCCCAGTCGAACTTACCGTGCTCTGTATCCCCTCTTTCTCCTAACACCTTGCGGACTCATATCGCCATCTTCATAAGAATCCCCGTTGTCATGTCCATGTTGCCATTAGCTGGCTCTGGAGTTCCAATTCTTACATTAAAACGCATGAAACTCGAACAAAACAGAGAGAAAATCGGGTAAGGGTCTTGTGTTTACAATCTCAGGTCAAGGGTCATGTAATACATTTAGTGACATCTAGCGATGTATACAAAAACTGCAGTAGTGACAGGTTGCGTGTACGGTGTAATAAAAGTAGCCTCTACCAGGCTTCTGGAGGAGGCTGGAAAGAGTAGCAATCGGCCAAATAGTGAGACAACATGCCGGGGTAGTTGGTCCGCTAGTTGGTTCGCTAGCGAAAAAAAGAAGGAAAAAAAAGGAACCATATTAAATAGCAAACGATCTTCCACCATCAACCTCTGCTTCGAGAGAGTAGGTAGAGACAACACCACATTGCTACTGTAAATCTTGTAATCTTCGAGGTGGCTCTATTTTCACGCTTTTCCCGACAGACGCACAGGCACGCAGACATGAAAACATAATCTTTGAAATTACCAGTAAATTATAATGATATAATAGAACAGGTAGCGTTTTGAGATAGATTGAAACGTATGGGGAGACAAGCAAGACAAATATCTTAGACAGAGCCAAGTCATAGATTAAACAAGAATGCAGTGATGACAGTCGGTCTCTGTCTTCGAGGGGGACTCAGGTAAAGCCTGGGGGAGAGTTAGTGCAGGTCACTTGTCTTATAGCACAGATAATTACACATAAACGGTTAGTTAGAGTCGCTGGTTAAAAATAGGCCGAGAAAGGGTGGAGCTGTCCACCATGTCATTTATCTTGTCACTTCTTACTCGTCTGGCGACTTTAAGCACCTGGGGAGCACTACTGATCAGTAGACCGTGTTAAGGCTCTATGTTCTTAAAAGTACCCAAAATGATATGAATTTCCATCCAAATCTCGATTTTTGTTCTAAATTCGCTACAAAATGATGTGTGTAACTGTTAGTATTCTAGTCTGAGTCGATACTTGTTCTGTCGCACACACGATTTCTTTCGCTGGATTAATTGGCGCTTCCTGGCATGATTTATTACATAGCTCCGGCACTATGACTTTTGGAACTTCAGAAGAACAAAGGGTCATGAGAAAAGCACAATGTTTCAACATGTCTGTGATTCAAAAGTTTGCCAACCTTACGAATTCGCCGTTTTATTAATATATAACGTTAGCAAAGACTACAAATTTCAAGAAACATGAATTATCATCTTTGATTCATTTAATTAATTGTTTCAAGAACATATTTATGAACGTCATCACATCGGACGAGGAGGTCAAATACTGGCCACGCCTACAAGTCTTAACGTTAAAGGTCTCTGCATAGATAATGAGCTGTCTAGTGAGCTGCCTACAAATTTCTGTCCTACCTGACGACCCGCGCACTTGAGGGCGAGACACGGAGGTGAACAAGTCACACGTCTTTGATTTCTGAGCGAATTTTGGTGAGTCTAGCAATTTGATACTTTTCAGTTTCCCTCACAACTGTCATATTAGCTATATCACATAATTCGTCTTTGGCAGTTGAACAAGTTTGTCCGTTTCGTAGAGAAAAAATATTTATGTCAAGGTGTAACCTTAGCAGATAAACAATGTTTTGAGTAACTGTAATGGACGGTGGGCGGCGTTTTCTTGTGAAAAAGAAGTTCGGGTGCTTTTCAAAAACCGTCAACACCAATATCAAATATTGTAATGTTTGTTACAGAGCAAAACAACTTCAGGGAACTTGCGGCAACTGGGAAAGTTTTTTATGGAAATTGTTTAACACTACATATCGGAAGTTCTACGTCAATCTTTTATAATTTCAGTTGTATGTTGCAATCTAGGTGAAGTCCGAATTGAATCCGCCCAACTTCAGCAGGATGTCAACCAAACAATTGCAAGGCAAATGGGGAGGCTTCAGTGATAAGGTGTTTTTTGACAACGACACCGCTACTGATCGGGCCAGGGCTTGTTGTGTTCTGGTACGTTATAGAACCATTATAGTAATCAATACAGGTCTTTGTTTGGTTTTCAGAACTAAAAATATGTGTCCCAAAACATTTTGAAAATCTGAAGTCTTTTAAGTTATGCTGTTTACTTTACCTTATAGGGGTATGTACAGTATCTAATTTTAGAGATAGAACAAATTTGTACATGTGTAAATACTGCATTGTGTCTTCAGCCTTTCGTATTTTAAAACATTGCAGTTCCGAGATGAGGTGGCGTTTGCTGTCAACGACGGAAAACCGTTTGCTGGATTTGTACCCATCTACTATCAGACCCAAGTTGTCGCGGGGATCAACTACAAGATTCTGGTAATGTTCTCTTACATTGTCCCAACATTTGTTTTCTGTAATTACGACTGTTCCTATGTTTGTAGTGTTGGTTTTCTGTATATATCCATTGAGCCGGTGTTACACTGCCAACAACCTTTGGCCAATTTGTTAATCGCCGGAAGGTCATCAAATTTGTAAATTGCCAGCGAGTTATTGCCCTGGGTACTTGCATCTTTTGTCTGAAAAGCTACCGTCAATATCTTGGGGCTCAGCGACAGCAAATACCTAAAATCGCGCAGTAAAGGACACGGGTTGTACTGTTTGTTGTGTAAGTATTTTAACCCGTTGTGTTAATTTATCTACATAGATCCACACTTACATACGTGTAAAATTATCTGATTCCAGGTTATGGTTAGTGACCAAGTTGGTGCACGTGGCCATGTGATGATGGAGGTGTTCTGGCCCCCGGGACCAAAGGCCATGCCTGAGCTGACATGCGCCAAACGTGAATAGAGAGGTCGACTTCCCGGCCACCAGTTCGTTTCACAAATTTACTGTGTTTAATAGTCAGATTACTACTGTAACGGCAACTTTATACATGCAAGATGCATAAAGGAAAGGTTTTCAAGTATTTTCCATCAAAATGAGTCAACAGAATGCATGACTTAAACTCAGTGAATTGTGAACGTAATCAAACTGCTTTGATCTTTAGCAACTTTCATTGACAGGCCTAGGTATGCCAGCACTTAGCAAAATCTATTATTTTCGCTGTCGTTCAAACTATAAAGAAAGCCGTGAGTTACTACTAACTACACAAACAACATAGTCGCCTTTTCTGTGTTCAGATGTCACCAGATGCTTAGTTTATGCCATATCAAACTTTAGTTGCACATGTGTTAACTTGGCATGGTATAAAGGACTTTCTAGATTGACTTTGCCCGGCTGTGGTGAAATCTTCAATAAAATGGAAAATATGGGAAACCTTTTGTGTTGACGTGTATTTCTGTCTGGGGATTGCTTTGTACATACTGTAAATATTGTTATGTTCGCAGTGGCTATATTTCCACAGTTTTTGCGGTGAATTGTCCACTGCAAACATCGTATTTGCAACAAACTTTCATTATAACATGACGATTATGCGCCTCCCCTGTATTACTAGTTATGGAAGTGTTTAACTGTGAACGTGGAACACCATGAAAACATCCTTTCCCCCTTTTACTGCAAAAATTAGGGCCCTGCAATAATGAAGAAATTTACAGTAGCCTGTTGTGCTTCAAGTCTGACAAGACAGCCACACCCAGAGTTAATCTTCAATTCCACAAAATAATTGTGGAACAAATATGTGTATCATTTGTATTATTTGAATGTTGTAATTGTTGTGATTTGTATTGATTATTATGTGATACCCTTCATCAATTCAGCCGTATAAAGGCTGCGACTGCACGGGTACTGTTGGGACAATAAAAAAAAAACCTTTTGATATTCCCCAACCCTTTTAACGTGAATAAAACACTTCAGGTTTACAAGAGAAGGGCTGGTTAAAAACCTTTGTTGTATCGGTCCGACCCGAAGTGTCTTCAACAACATTTTTAGCGTTTTGAGATACATGGAAACCTATGGGGAGACAAGCAGAACAGAAATATCTTAGACAGAGCCATATTCTAGATTGGATGTAAGGCAACAAGAATGCAGTAATGACAGTCGGTCTTTGTCTTCAAGGGTGACTCAGGTAAAGCCTGGGGGAGGGTTAGTACAGGTCACTTGTTTTATACCACAGATAATTACACATAAACGGTTTGTTATTGTCCTTGGTTATGGATAGGGCCACGAAAGGGTGGATCTGTCCACCATGTCATTTATCTTGTCACTTCTTACTCGTCTGGCGACTTTAAGCACCTGGGGAGCACTACTGATCAGTAGACCGTGTTAAGGCTCTATGTTCTTAAAAGTACCCAAAATAATATGAATTTTCATCCAAACCTCGATTTTTGTTCTAAATTCGCTACAAAATGATGTGTGTAACTGTTAGTATTCTAGTCTGAGTCGATACTTGTTCTGTCGCACACAGGATTTCTTTCGCTGGATGAATTGACGTTTCCTGAAATGATTTATTACATCCGGCATTATGACTTGCAACTTCAGACGGACAGAAGGTTTTGTCAAAATCATGCCTAAGATACACAAAAATTTCTGAAAAGTTCCCACACGCCTATTTGTCAATACATAATGTCATGTTCAAACATACATGAATTTATTTTAAGATATCAATGTTTATCAACATTACATCGGGTCAGGTGGTTGTATCTCAAAGCCTAGCCACGCCTACAATTCACCCTGCATGGATAATGAGCTGCCTACAAATCTCTGTCCTACCTGACGACCCGCGCACTTGAGGGCGAGACAAGAGGTAAACAAGTCCGACCCAAAGTTTCTTTAACAACATTTGTAGCGTTTTGAGATACATGGAAACGTATGGGGAGAGAGGCAGAAATATCTCAGACAGAGCAATATTATAGATTGGATGTAAGATAAGAAGAATGCAGTAATGACAGTCGGTCTCTGTCTTGAAAGGTGACTTAGGTGCAAGCCTGGGGGAGGGTTGGAACAGGTCGCTTGTTTTATAGCACAGATAATTATACATGAATAGTTTGGTAGTGTTCTTGGGTATGGGTAGGGCTGAGAGTGGGTGGAGCTGTCATTCAGTTCATTTATCTTGTCACTACTAATATACATGTTTGGCAGGACTTTGTGTATGCAGGGGTCACTATCGTCAAACTCCCAAACTGATGTAGGAACTTATTTCTTGCATAAGTGTGTTCTAGATTCTATGCAGATCAAGATCTCCGTTCGGTATTCAGGCGCACCGCCAAAATCCTGGTTAACATTCCGTATGGAGTTGCACAAGTGAGTTTCAGACCATCACAGCACCTCCTTTGCACACCTTTAAACACATGAAACAGTCTTTTTTTCTTATTCCAACATGTCATGAATAGACGTGGTGACGGCACACTCAAGTTATATCAACTTATTTTATGCCGTCACCAACGCAGAGGACGAATACAGGACGAGACAATACTCATTTTCACTTGAGTTAAGAGAGAAAAAGTCGTGTAAAGTACCTTTCCCACGGGCACAAGATCGGTGGCATGTCAGGACTCGAACCCGGTACCTCTTGATTCCGAGTCGAGTACGCTGCCGCTATGCCACACGACCCCACGCATGATACATTGTTGACTTGGGACCTCAGACCACTGGGCGCTATTTGATATCACTACCACGGATATGGTCTTTTTGTGCGTACTGAGTTACCGCCCCCCTCCCCAATTGAACTTACTAGTGTTATATACCATCCCTTTCCTTGGTGCTGAAACACCATTCTCTTCACAGTACTATAAATAAAAACCACATTCTGCTTGTCCTCCCTCAAATTCTATCACCTCCGTGATGTTATCTTCATCAAAACTAGCGTTAGTATGTGTAGATCGTAGCTGCTGGCTACAAAATACCAATTTTTACCTCGAAACATAGAGATACAAACTGAAGTAGCAACAGGTTGCGTGCATGGTCTAAGAGCGCCCCGCTGCGGTTCCTTTACAAGGTACAACACGTGGTGCTTGTAGTTACTTGTGTGATTTTAGTGACATCTAGTGATATATGATAAATCCAAACATTAAATTACATTACTAGTATACTTTGATGTCCTTTAACATTTTTGTCACTTTAGCCTTACGTATACACCAATCTAAAACAGTTTTGTTCTGTTATATTTAGGTTTTATTTAGTTTGTTAGTTTTGTGATTTAAGTTTCAAGGAGGAGGACATTGCAAAGCCTTGCAGGCCTCTTTATTCCTCCTGCACACTGTTTTCTATATTTGTTGATCAATGTTTTTATTTGTGCAAATAAATAAAATGAAATGAACTGCAGTACCAACCAGTTGCGTGCATGTATCAAAAGCGGCCCCTAGCAGTTCAATCTAGGACTGCACCCAATATTAATATGTTGGCCGCACTGCTCCAATTACTGCAGGGATTGTTTTTGGCAGCCATGGAGAGCTTTTGATCCATGGCCTATGTATGTTGCCAATAATTAATAATCTACTAAATGCTGCCTAGAAAATAGCCATCAATCCTACCTATATTTTCTAGCGGTTTTTTTTTCGGGGGCGAGAGAGCAGTATACGGGTACGGGGCTGTATCGGGGGAAGAGTTTTTCGGCTTGCGGCAGTAAAAGCCTGCTTTTATTCGGCACCCTTTTAAACCTCAAACCCTGATACAGCCCTCTACCCCCCACACAACTCTTCCAGGCATGAGGAACTGCAGTGACTTGTTATGCCGCTAAGCGACGCTTTTGATCCATGGCTCTATAACTAGTGTATTGGTTGAACTACTACTTAAAAGAAACTGCAGTGATTTGTTTTCACCGTTACGGGGCGATTTTGCTCCATGGAAATTTCAACGCCTCAACAATATAGAAGAGTAAGAGAGTCGATTATTCTTTGATATGAGAAGACTTGATATGAAAATATTAAAATGATAACATAACTATCCTATTCAAGTTAATGTTAACCAATATATGATGCTGTCATATTTCCTATAGTAGACAAAATGTCATCCTTAAATGTCTTAAATACGCGAATACAACCTTAAAAAGACGTCCTGCCAAGTACTATACACAATACGGACAAACAATACATTACAGGTTTCGCACAGGCGCAGTAGGTTTTCCTGATTCAAACAGGGAAACCTACGTCCGTTACCATGGCAACAGCCGCTACGTCACAACCTTGTTTACACGCTGTAAAAAAAACTTACCGGGTAAGATTTTATCCTTAGATCGCCCGGCATGTCTGGACAAATTCCTCTTCCCACGAGCTATTACCCTGAATGAGTTGGAAAAGTCTGCCCTGTGGCTGGATCCCCCCGTGTTTCCTCTCTGTCGCACGCGAAGGCATTGTTCGGCCGGGGGTAGATTACAGGCGGGCGACACAGATGGTTCGTACCGCAACAAAGGTCGCCCTGCGCCGGTATCCGGGCAGGGCAAGGCGCTCCGCAGCTCTGTGTTACGAGATAATAATTTATTGTCTCTCTTTCTCTCTCTCGAGATGACGAAATTGGTTTCAGTTTTATATTTGTCGGTCAGGCTGTTGGTATGCCCTGGCATAGTTGGCCGACTTCCAGCTATCACAAAGTCTTGCGAGTTTCTGACCTACTAGTTGCACTACACTACACTACACTGCACTACACGACACTACACTACACGACACGACACTGCACGACACGACACAACATTGCACCGCTACAATACACTGCACGACATTACACTACATAGAACGACACTACACTACACTGAACGACACTACACTACAATGCACATTACACTACATTGAGCGACACTACACTACACTGAACGACACTACACTACACTGCACTGCACGACACTACACTACATTGAGCAACACTACACTACACTGAACGACACAACACTACACTACACTGCACTACTGCACGACATTTAATACACTACATTGAGCGACACTACACTACACTGAACGACACTAAACTGCACCACACAACATTAGTTACAAGTTACCTAAGTGGAGCTCTGTGACCGACTACCCTCTTTATATCACCTTATTTGACCGGCCAAGTTCAGGCATCTTTCAAGCAACCTAAGGGGTCTGGGAGAATAAATAAATTTTACGTTCATCTTACTACTAGTATCCTGTCTCTCATTAGGACATCTGCCTGTAATATCTGTGATGACAGCAATATTTATTTCTCTCCTGCACGTCAGTAATTCATTCTGTATTGGTTGCTAGAAAGAGAATGCATATGCTGAACAGTAAGCACTTCTGCATACCTTTAGTAATAAATTACCTCCATGGACATGTGTTAAAAATTTAAAAACTATTTGATGAAAGAAAGCCAGATATTAAATGCAGGGTTTTCACCAGGATTTTTTCACAGCGTAGGGGTCAGGTACAGAAAGACAACTTTTTCAACGCAAGTCGCGCGTTGAGCCGAAGAAAAATTAAACTCATAACCCCCTGAGACACTATTTCTCACTTACAGATTTTGTGAAGTTAAGGTTTTCCCTTTGTTATAGCTTCATTCTATATAAAAGTTGGATTTTCATTTTTTTTGCAAGATTTATTAAGGTTCTCCCCCCAAAATTAACACCCCTATGCAGATTGAAAGACAGCATGGGGGTCCAAATCACAGCATAGGGGGTCCAAATCACAGCACAGGGTGCCCCTATTATTATTATATGCTCAAATAGCCTAGCGAGAACTATTGAATGATACAAGTCTTGTGGACATACGAAATGATGCAAACTCTCCAAGCAGAGGTTTGGGTTTGGGGTTATTTTGGGCGTGTTTTTAGGCTTTTTTTAAATCGGGGTTTCTCTTTTGCACTGGAAAAATAACCCCAAACCCAAACCTCTGCTTGGAGAGTAGCAAAAAGTAAACTTCGCCTACATCTAGTACTAGTATTTCTGAAAGGTTTGAGCGCATAGGCAGATAAAGACAAGACAAACCTAGCTGCGTTTGATCAACCTGTCGAACTGGGCTATTTCAGGAGGAAGAAATCGCCCTGAACTTCGCCAGATTCATAACAAAGAGGTTGTCAGAGGTTAGCTTGGGAAGAAACAGAACCTAAGACAAACGTTTACCCTGGCCCCAAAACGCCACGGGACGCTGGCACGGTTCTAAACGCCGGGCGAAGACTAACAACGTCCCGGCACGCAACCTTATATCATCCTGGCGTTTCTAGTATAATCGTTTCCACCTTGTTGGCACCGGGTCTGGGGCAAAGAGAGCGGGAAGGTTTGGTGAGAAATCGGCATATTTGACCGGAGAAAATGTCAACCAAGAGGTCCCGAGTTCGAATCCTGCCATGCCACCGACCTTGTGCCCTTGGGAAAGGCACTTAACACGACTTTCCTCATGTGAAAATGAGTATGTCTAGCTGTTGTCCATGCGTTGGTGGCGGCATAAAAATAAGTTGAAAACACTTGAGTGTGCCGTCACCATGTATTGTAATTAATGTTGGAATATAAAAAACAACAAAACTTTAATACCTTTTGATGCAAGAGGCAGACATTGGCATGCAGAAGTTAAACGATGTATTATGCGTTCTTACATCGTCTCTCTTTTTATTTAATTGTCTCTCCTTCCGCTATCTTTTTGCTGAGTAAAATCTCTTGCTCTGTCTCGTCTACTAGTATTCCTTTTCTTACCAACTAAGGCCACAGCGACTTAATTTTATGGATGACATCCGCGCGCGCATTGATTTCCGTCTGATCTCAAAAAAAAAAAAAAAAAAAAGATCACGTCTTCCGAGGCTCTGGCCTAGCTGTCCCGATGATGGTGGTCAGCGACAATGAAGTCGGCGGTAACTCTGGAGGGCGGCACCCAGGCTACCGAAGCTCCACGACTCAAGAACTCAGTACATACGTACAGTGTCGATTCATAAATTCCGCAAAAAGCCAGCATGTGCCGGCTTGTCGTATACGTCGCTATGTAATGCGCCAAATTCACAATACCGGCTTTGTGTTCCTGTGGTTTAGAAGCATTTTTATTTTTGGCCGGATTTTTCTTTTTTTCGCCCGCGCGCGCTAGTTTGGGGGTCTTCAGAGGATGTCATCCATAAAATTAAGTCGGTGTGGCCTAACTCCCTTGTAACCTTGCAACGCCCCCTATCGGATTAGTCAATTGCCCCCCTCCCCCAAATAGAAGTAGAGCTCTTTCTATGATAAGAGTTCTCTACTAATTGTAATGTAAGACTACATAAGATACAGCTGTTAGTTTCTCGAGTTCTCCCACATAGACCAATGCACGTCAAGAGAGTCTTCCGAACAGCAAAAAACAATGCAGGCGTCTTGTCCTGTCTTCTTTACTTTACTGCTTGGCTAATTCTGAACAATTCTTAACTCAAATCGACCTGCAGGTCGCTTTTCATTGAGGTCAGACAAAATATAAAACAAGAAGCCATAGGTGACAATTCTCCGTGAAGTATTATACATTGCAACAAAAAGAAGTAGCCATTGGCGACAATTCTCTGTGAAGTGTGATAAATCGAACAAAGAAAAATTGTTTAAACGCGCGTCGGCTCAGTCATCTTAAGACGCAACAACCAATCAGAGATGCGAGATGCCTACACGTGACGCGGGAAGGGCGCGCGATGCCCGAAATATTTTTGCGTCAATATTCAGCGCCGTGATTCAAGAGATTAATACCCGGAAACAATTTTTTTCTTGTTTTGAACGCATTAACATGCATTTACGCTAATCTAGTATGATTCAGGGTTACTTTTTTTTTAACCTGCCATGGCCAGATTATCTAAAGATGTGTGTATTGTGTGTACAATCTATAGAAAGAGAAATGTACATCAGGTCCGATCATCCGATTTTCACGTTTCGGTTTTTTGGACTCGGTTCATGAACGTATTTTGGTTTGGCCCCTGGAATGTGCGAAAAAAATGACTCCCGGGACTGTCTACAGGGAACACTCGCACATTCGCGGTGTATCAGGACAGCGCGACTGGTCGTCATTAGCGCAGTAACAGTTGCATAAACGGACGAAACCATTTCAAAGAAATGGGGATGTTTCGAAAATAAGCATTTACTCCAATATCAAAACAGCTACGGTAAAAATAAAAAGACGTGCATCATCCCGGACATAATGCAACACCACATGCGAAATTACACAGAAATGCGACGTACGGAAGAATGCGTTTTGGCTGCGAACATCTTCCAAAAAACTTGGCATCTCTTAACCATGGGCAAAAACATCTGGAACCACTTATAAAAACCACCCCGTATCTGCATGAACTTTTTTGAACCCCACTGCTATTCCAAACAACGCGTTTTTCTGGACCATTCCAATTCGCCTCGTAATTGTAGGGGTGCGTCTGCGATATTACATTGACCGCGAAAGCAGCAACGGCAAAAATACACATTCGTGCATCAACACGGGCATGCCCGCAGACGGCGTATAAAATTGCGTGCCGATTACACAAAGAGAACCCAGTGTTTTGACTGCGAACATGAAAAATCAGCCGATTACAACACTCCGTCCGGAGGTCCTGACCTCCTTCACGGAGTAACAAAGATTCAGTTTACATCATTTAAAGTCCTAACAACTCTATACACACATAGACGGTACCAAATACATACATAAATGCTGGAGTAAGGGTTCGTACAGGCTTCGTAGCCTCTACCAGGCTTCGGGAAGCGGCTGGAAACAGTAGAAAATGGCCAAATAGACACATAACATACCAAGGAAGTGGCGTATTGGACCCTCTCTGGCCAATGGATACTAGTATACTGCCTGGCCAATTTGATACTGCCTTTGGCCACCCTAGGATCTGCTTGGAGATTACTCGAAGAGATCTGCTTGGAGATTATCCTCTATATTTTGTGCTCCACCCTAGCTATAGTCCACCTGTTAGAACAGTTTTTGAACCGTCCCTAAGTGAAACACCTGGCGCCCCACATAAGCCGGGCACGTGTGGTGCCTCGCCCCGGGGCGCGACGGGCATGAGGCGGAGAAATCCTACCTGTGTCTCCGGGGGACAGATTGGGTCCTCTTCGTCAAATCTTTTCTGACAGTCGGGTCACCAAGGGTCAGGGACTCTCAAAAACATCTGCCTGGAGAAAAAAGTCATGTCAAATCAGACGAAGGATGTAAAACATAAACATAGATATGTTTTCTGGTCAAACATTCGAATACTTAGTACATGTAGTATTCTTAGCTGCATGTCTGCAAAACGTATCGCGTCGTAGTTGGAAAGTTTAGTTTGAAAGAAACATTTCCAAAAGTATTTTTTCTTACTTTGACAGACGAAACCCTTCACACAATGTATAAACAAAGGCATATTTTCTGTCAAAACTTTGAATAGTATTGCATTTCTGAATTTCTTCATTTTGGAAAGTCGTATTCTGAGAGAATTTTACCTCGACAGTAGTCAGTCGTGGTTAGACCGTTAAATTTAAACAAAAAATTCAAAATGTAATTTTTTGTTTGACAGAAGAAACCCTTCAACGCAGCCAGATCTTAGCAATTAGCCCAATCATTAACTAACCAATCCCTCATGCTGTACTGTATAATCAATTACACGCCATGTTCTCACCAGACGTACCGGTAACATGTATATCGATACAAAACGTTGTTCTTCCCACTGTAAAAGGCTTGGGTGGACATGTATGTCTGGCGATATTCATGTTGCTGGTCCTGGAAGTGGTCAGTAGGCCTGGGGTGCAGTGTGCAAGACCCAATAATAAGTCGTTGTTGTTGTTGTTGGACAAGTTCTTCATGTAAACCACGTATTTTCACTTGTTTAGACTTTACTAACTTTGTGCAAAGAATTGCTATTTCTTTATAAAAGATTTACATTACAAATTAGCATTTTTGGGACATTCCTGGAGAAGACTTTTCGATCATCATCATGTCTTGAAAAACCGCAGGCCGAGCAGGCCATGTGGCCGTCTGTACATATGTGTGTCTAATTATCGTGTGTAAACTGGGATATCAATTTGTTATCAAACGTTGACTGATGGACTCTCCTGTTGCCGCACAGTACATTGTGCTAGCCCTCATAGTATGCCAAAATCTGGGGGGGGGGGGCGGGGGGTCTTCATGGTCTTTGGGAGCTTTTATGTGCTACTATTACTAAAGTATTTTCTGATTGCATATAGACAACATAGCCGGCCAGGTTGAATTACCCCCGTTTTTAGAACTGTTCTATAACTTATAAGCCTGCTACGGAGGCTAACATTGTGCAAGGCCGTGGAAAAGTAGAGTTTTGTGGTTTTAAAAGTCAATTTGCTGGTCATTCTTCTAATGTAGTGAGTTGAATAGCATACTGAGTGTGAGTCAAAGAATGTGATATCGCTGACGGAAAACGGTTGCTTGTTTCATATTGTAGGCTGGTTGTAGCTATTTATTGGTGGTACCGAAAAATAAATTGACTCTTTGAGTAGCTTGTTTTGGGGCTATTTGAAATGCTTGAATTCAGAAATGATGACGAAAATGTGCTAAGAAGTGGCATGCCGGCAGTAAATGTTAATATCAGACAGATTTCCTCATCCAAAATATTTTAGTTTTGCCGCGCAGAAACTGCATTGAAATGTATGCTTTTAAGAGGGCCTGCATGGGGGGGGGGTGACTGATTACGAATTACGCAAAATATTAGCCGCCGATTACGAATTACGTTATTAAAGATGATTACGCCTTTACGCTTTGTGGCTAATGTACTGATTTTACGATGATTTTTTGGGCGGCTGCCTACGGATTACTAAGGCTAAAAGAAAAAGGCTTGATTACGCCTTACGGAAAAGGGCTTGCAGGCCCATTTTTAAACGTACAGGTTCAACTTTGTGGGGAAGTATAATGAACGAGACACAATAACTCACTGAGACATGACCTAATTGTTGAAGGCAGACCGAACGCAGTGCAGGTGCCCAGCATCATGGCCGTCTGGGCTGGATCAAATCTCGCGAGATCTGCATGATGGTGACGTTGACAGATTAGTTGTCAGGTTCGGGTACGACAGTACTTCACAAAATGAAGCATTTTAGGGGGAGGGGGGCGGTTCTTGCTTGACAAGGACCCGCCTTTGCGTAAATAAATGTTGTATGTCAAACTCTTGAAACAAAACTAGTGTGTCACCCTTTACGTCCATAAAGATAACATACAGCAACAAAAGACACAGAAAATCAGACCCTTTCTGCATCTGGATACGGTATGTAACCTAAGGTCAAATTCGAGTACCTGTACCTGATAACACTCAATGAATTACTAGTCTTGAATACACAAGAGAATAGGGAAAGACTATCTTAGTCTGTTTTGCATTTTTTGTCTTTAATATGAAACTGTTTTGTCTATGCACGGCGACACGAAACATCTAGGATCTCATATAATAACTTTTTGAATAAAAAATCGTAATGCCCTAACTACAACTTGCAATGACGTTTTCAGTGCCCCCCTCCCCCTTCTGTTCCCCTGGATATGCACAAGTCTTCACTGATTATAATTCCCCAGCCCAGCCCAGGAGAGTAAACACAGCTGCATGGCTGTGTTTCTTTTAATACAGGCCTTCGCCATTCAACGTGACACGGACCCCCAAACAAAGCCAAACAGTCAAGTTTAGCTTCTCCCTCGACGTTTCAGAGATTGTCCAAACACTGATGTGTGCTAAAACATGTGGTTCTAACGCCGAACCGTGCCAGAAACCGTTTTAGGAATGGGTGAGAGCAGGGCTATATTAAAAACTTGAATGCGGCAACTTCTTGTTCTTGAATGACCTTGAATTAACTGGCGCCGCTGCCTAGAGTCATACATAACGTAATAATCCTGTCAAAGTTTTTGATGCATTCGATAAAAATTAATTGCACAAGTTCAAGTTGCTCTTTTGGTTCATTCTTACTCAAAACCTATAAAATCATACACCCAACAAAAAGAATATTCAGCTAGTCTATCCATGAAGCTAGAAAATCTATTAAAACATTTTTCTTTTGCATCGATCCTATAAAAATGCTAGGGGGAATTTTAATAGGTGGGAGGGGGGTATGACTTTTCTACTCTCCCCTACAATGCAGAAATGTTCGATCCCCGGCCATGTCACAGATGAGACAATGTTTACATTTCCAAGTATCGTCTGATTTCCAGACGAGCGTTCTTTCTAAACAGTTTGGTGGCGGGCGGTGAAGTGCAATCCGCAAGGTTAAGCCATCCCTGGACTTGCACAAGGCGCCGTGCAACGCTGACAGCCATGTTCGACAGGAATTCCCTGGTAAAATAAACATGGCCGCCCCGTGACACATCTCCCACTACCGTGTTACTCCCGTGAACATCTTCCCAAAGGATAGCCTGGTGTCCAGTCGATCGTGATTGGGGCGGATTTTCTTCGGGGCTGCAGGAGCTCTTCCCCGCCTGACTCAGCTAAGTTCCCCCGGTAGGTTTTTTTTTCACGACGGGAACCTAGCTGAGTCGGACGGGGAAGAGCTCCAGCAGCCCCGAAGAGAACCTGCCCAAACCACGATCGACTGGACACCAGGCTACCCAAAGGGCGTCAGGACAAGTTCTTCCTTCAGCTGGGGAGTCTACATCCCTCCTACTCAGATCAAGGAAGGTCATTTGCTTAGCTCTACATGTGGTGGACACAACGAGAGCAATGCCCCTTTTTAACCTCCTTGCTTGACTCTGAAAGCGCTACTAGTTTTTGAAGATCTTTGAAGTAACTTCACGATAACATTACGATATTAGCCTCTACCAGGCTTCGGAAGGCGCGTGGAAAGAGTAAAAATCGGCCAAATAGAGAGATAGCATGCCCGGGGAGCTGGTCTGCTGGAGAGAACAGTTTGCGGCAAAATGTACTCTCTAGCAAACCAACTCCCTCGGCATGTTATCTCTCTATTTGACCGATTTCTACTCTTTCCAGCCGCCTCCCGAAGCCTGGTAGAGGCTATTACGATATAGCGGCCTTAAAACATACTCTATACTGCATTTGCAAGCACTTCGAACTTGCTAAGGTTTTAAAATCAGGCCGGCTCTTACATAACGTCTAAACGAGAACGAAAATCTTAAATCTTATATTATATCTGATATGAATTCCAAGAAGCCAGAGTTGTAACACGACCAAACAAGGAGCAAAATGAGAGACTTTGAGTCTCGCCAATTCCCGCGAGATGTTTAGACTTCTCCTAAAGCTTGATACGTGGACACTAGCAGGCCCTGGACACTAGCATGTGTAAGAAACAGGAGCGAGTAGAAACAGATAGAAACCCCTCACAGTGGAAACCCCTGGTCCCGGGTTCGAACCCACGGACTCCCGAGCACCAGCTTCAAAATCTGACGCTCAAACCACTCGGCTAAAAGGTCTAGACATTTTGGCCGGGTCAGTTGGTAGCGCCTATAAAACTTAATATCCAAACCGGTACCTATTTTTCCTGCCAAATCTCTTTCGTCCTCTCCGCAAAAAAAAGATCTACCAGACTAGCCCACGTTGACCACGTGTATCATTTGTGAGTGAAATGTGTTTATAAACCTGTTAATTTGTATAAACAAATTTGAAAGGGCAAAGAAGATTTCATTTCACCACATCTCGTCTCAAACGCCATGATTTATAAAACACGTACATGCCAAATGGCACAAAAATCACCAAAAAGCTGTGCAGCAAGGAGGCTAGTGTTACAGTCGAAAATGTCAAAGAAATGACCCAGGCCAACTCAAGTGCACATTTCTTCAATATGTCGCTTTGACAGTAGCTCGGTGGTATATCTTCCCAGCGTGTGGTTTGAGTGAAACCACATTTTCATGATCACCCTCAGCCTGGGGGTTCTATTTCCAACGTTGCGTCCTCTGCCAAGGGGGCTAAGGCCACACCAAGTAAATTTTATGGATGACGTCCTTTGGAGACCCTAAATCTAATACGAGAGGGCGAAAAAAAAACAAGAAAGGCCCTAAAACAAGATACCTAGATTAGAAATATACTAAGAGACGACAAATGTTAGGACACAAATTGAATGAGGTGACACAGTGTAACAAGCAAGAAGTCTTTTATTCATCATCAAAATAGCAATAAATCAGGTGGAACAGCAGTTGTCGTCCTGTCCTGTTTTCGGCGTTACGGGTTTCACGTCAATCTGTCAAATTGCGGCACTGTCGTGCCTCATTGGTCATAGTTACAGGAAGCAGAATTTCTTTTTTTTTCTAGGAACAGGCCAAAATCAATGCGCGCGCGGACGTCATCCATAAAATTTACTTGGTGTGGCCTAACATACCGAGAAGGTCATCCATTTCTCTCCCTGGTGCAGCACACATATGGGGCACACACCCGGCCAAAGCCCCGCAACGTGGATACCCCGCAGACGGCATGTTACAGCTAACAGTGTTAGCAGCGACAAACATGGTACACGTGTGGTATGCATGTTCCTGGTTCACAGTCCAGACTGCTCAGCTGGTGACGGCTGGGAGGAATTGCCCGAGACGTCTGGTGTAAATTTCTGGATTTTTTAAAAGTCGTTTGAAAGGCTTTTAATTCATATGGAAACGATACTTCCTCACAAGACGTAAAAGTAATGAAAGGCACATGTTTCTTCATATTAACTTCCTTCTAATTTTGTTTTATGGCCCTTGCAATTGATGTTTAATGGCCCTTTGAAAAATACACCCTTGTTGAAGCAAGTGTTCATGTCCAAACCACAAAAGCTAGGAGTGAAGTGCGTAGGTAGTTTTGTTTCTGATTCTAGTATGTAAGTTGTCTGTCTGTGTTTCTGACTTAGTAAGATCGCCATCTTTGACTGCCTTACTTTGTATGGTATCCTTCTCATTAAAATTATTATATAAAATGACATCTTACATACTCTCCAAGCAGAGGTTTGGGATTATTTTTAGCATGTTTTAGACCTTTTTTGTCAGGGTTTCTTGTTTGCACTAGAATTTATGTTTCAGTCCCCCCCCCCCCACACACAAAAATTCCAGTGCAAAAAAAGAAACCCCGATAATAAAGTCTAAAAACATGCTAAAAATAACCCAAACATCTGCTTGGAGAGTAATCTTACAGGCAATGACGAAGACAACGTACAGTCTACATCAGTAGGCCCCCGAAGGTAGACGGAAAACTGACTCACCAAAATCTCCATGAAATTCGGGCATTCCTAGTCTTTACAACTGGACAACATAAACCGGCCCTCGTGACGTAAGAACCGGGTCAAAGGTGCCCGGAAGTCTGTTCACGTTTTAATGAGATTAACTATAGCAACCTTGCCATTGGTCACATTTGTAATTTAAACTATAATCAAAAAATCTCTTTTTAGCTCTTAAAGTTGACCAATCTCTTGTTTCTGGCAAGACGTTATGCCTTTAAGAAAGACACTTTTTATATGACTTTCCTCACTCTACCCAGGTGTAAATTATATGTTCCTCACTTCGGTTGGGGAGGTAAAGACAGTGGAAGGAGAGGGATGGGCTCTGTCTTCTCATACCGTGTTAAGGCAACAATCCACTGCCCCTACGGCCTGAAAAAGGCTATGGAACTTCTTTATCTACCTTTACAAGCTTTTGTAGTCTTAGTACGTCATTTATATTTGATCAAAATGAATTAAGAAGAGGAAAAAAAAGAAGAAAAAAAAACGAAAAAAAAGACAGTGCTCAACATCATATAAACTGAACTCAAACCCCAATATTTATTTCGCTGTTTACACGAGACACAAAAAAACACGTCAGAGAACATCTTGTAAAATATCAATGAAACATAAATAATCTCGGCGAAAATTACATGACTTAAAAAGAGAAATTCAAACGAAGTAACGAAAACAAGAAACAAAGCGAGAATCGTTCTGGGAGATACCATCCCTTGTGACAGGTAGATTTTTTAGCCGTACTTCTTTTTATTACTGATCCATCCACCCCTCCATCTTTCTAGTGGTTTTGACCAAGTAGTGATATATACCTATATGTATGAACTGCTCAATCGGCAGTAGTCGTCGAGGATATACAAGGAAAAAAGATGAACTTCAACAAAGGTTGCGAAAAGAGAATATCATATTGTAGTCAAGCGACGAGCATTGTACATAGGCAGCCAGTAGTTGTCAAGTAGGCGAGAAAATGTTGTTAGTACTTTATAAAAATCCCCCTGGAAAGATATTAGAGTTTGAAAATGGTTTGATCTGGAAGACTTGGCTGAGAAAAAAACATTCTTCTGTGTTGGTGTTTTTATGTCTTGGTCGCGAGCCAGCGCGGCCGGTTTTCCATCATTCCTTGCACCTTGTCCTCTCAGTAACCAATGACAAACAGCCACGTCACGGAACTCTCGCCCAACAACCAATCGCATCGCAGTTCATCGTTTTTTCAAACAGCAAACTTGTTCCTCGTTAAGTCACCCACCAATCACCGCTGCTCTCTCACTCTCGGTTCAAACTTGTGTCCAATCATAGACATTCTTTCATCAGAATACAATCCCAGTGGTTCTAATGATGATGAAGGCACGTTATTTTCTCTGCTGCTGCTCAAATTTGGTCCCACGTTTTCCACAGATCCCGGATAGGTAGGTCGTCCAGTGGAAAAAAGAAAGCCCAGAAAGATCATTTGTTCCCCACGTATGTATCGTTAACCCCTTGGAATGAAGTCTTGCTTCTTCAAAATGACATCAGCATTCGACAGTCTCTGACAAGAGTCGCAGTGGCTCTTCAAGCAAGAATCGTCATTGGTCCGCGAGCTGCGTAGTCGTCACCTAGACCAGTTCGTTGTATTTACATAATTCGACCTCAGTCGGTGATTTGATGATGTCAAACATGTCAAAAAGACGCATCCATCAGCAAGTCGTCAGTCACACGTGACCCACGTGACGTCATCCTCACGGACAGCCGCGACTTCTCGCGAGACTTGTAAGCGCCATGGCCGCGTCAATTTCCTTCCAGTGCAACTCCTCGTCTTCAAACACCGGGGATGATCGCGGCTCGCCCTCACTCGTCGGGCTTAATCGGACACTTCCGTCACTCCCGAAGCTCGATCGGATGCTCCGAGCCGATTCCGACAGGTCTTCGTAATCTTGGGAGCTGAGGGACCCGGATTTGTCGTTCCTGCGCGCGGTGCTGTGGAAGGAGTCGTTGAGGTACCTCTGGAGGATACTGTGCTTGTACTTGGTGGGGGAACTCGGCTCCTCGCCACTGTCCGGGTACCTGGGGATGGCGTACCTGTGGTCCAAGTCCTCAGTGGGGGAGGGGGGCAGGGACGAGTTGTTGCTGTTCTCGTCTCTGTCTCCTTTGAAACGTGGGATTAGGAGATTTCCCTTGCTGCCGCCATCTTGAAAAAAAGAAGAAAGAAGAAGAAGTTAACTTTCAGATCGCAATAGTCTAACAAACGACATGTTCGCGCAATTCTTCTATGCATAGAATAACCTTTACCAGGCTTTAGAATCTAGCCTTACATTCTACAAGGCTTCGGGAAGCGGCTGGAAAGAGTAGAACTTGCTTCGCTTTCCAGCCACCCGCTTCCCGAAGCCTGTTAGAGGCTATTCAGAAGCGGCCGGAAAGAGTAAAAAGGGAGGGGCAAATTGTACTCCCATGGCACGTAATCTGTCTATTTGGCGGCCATTTTGAAAAGTGGTCCCGCGAGAGTACAGCGCGACGCGAACGTACGTGATCTTGCCCGAAAACAAGGCTCGTAGTGATTCGGTCTCACAATGCTTTTTCCAGCCGCTTCTACATGTAGCTGAAGCATGGTACAGGCTACCAATTTCAATCTAACACATCACAAGAAGAGACAACTATCCGGTTACCATGATCGCCGTAGTCCGAGTCCCCGAAGTCGTCCTCGTCGCTGTCGTCGTTGGAACTGATGGACAACAGTTCGGCGTTTCCCTGCACGTGCTTGTTGTACAGCTTGATGCGCATGCCCCAGCTCAGGTCAGGGTCTCGCACCGTGTTCTTCAGCCGCCGCCTCGCGTTGGCAAACCAGTTGGAGACCTAAAAAGAGTCAGAAAAGAACGCAGACGACGTTTGTAGGTTACTATACACGCTATATTTGGTTCAATGACATCAGCATGTACTTCTCTTCAGTAACTGAAGAAAAATATTTGCGTTCTATAAAAATCGAGACTGGTGGGAGACTAGGCTGGTCAGAAAAGAACGCAGACGACGTTTGTATAAGTTACCAAACACGCTATATTTGGTTCAATGACATCAACATACACTTCTCTTCAGTAATTGAGAGAAAATATTTGAGTTCGATAAAATGGAGACTATTGTACTTAAAGAAGTCACGCCTACATAAACAATTGTGTAGTCCAAAGAGTCAAAATGAAGTGTTTATTTTTGATACGATCACTTACGAGTTGGTACGTACATAGGCTAACGGTTAAGTACGTGTCATGTCTGTACGTGTGTTACGATAGCGCAGTCAATGCTTGTCAGTCAAAAATAATAAAAAGGTTTTGCACATGATGTAACCTAACACTAGTTCATGATGTAACCTAACACTAGTTCATGATGTAACCTAACACTAGTTCGTGATGTATAACCTAACACTAGTTCATGATGTAACCTAACACTAGTTCAAGATGTAACCTAACACTAGTTCATGATGTAACCTAACACTAGTTCATGATGTAACCTAACACTAGTTCATGATGTAACCTAACACTAGTTCATGATGTAACCTAACACTAGTTCATGATGTAACCCAACACTAGTTCATGATGTAACCTAACACTAGTTCCCATAGTGACAGGTGTCTGGTTCAGGTCATTGACCCACCTGTACCAACGTCATCTGTGACGTCAGAGCCAGCAGGATCTTCTCTGTTTTGGTTGGATAAGGGTTGTCTCTGTGTTTGATGAGCCACTGTTTTAGCGGGCGGGCCATGTCTTGCATCACCTGTCGCTTGTGACGGACCCTGTCCGAATTCCTGCGCCTAAAACAAAAGAAGAAAAGAACATATCATAAGTTAATTGCACCAATATTACAAATATATGAAAACTAGAAACGTAACATTTGTAAAGCAAATGCATTGTCTGCTCTGTTAATTCTTTCTCAAACACATTCGTATATGTGGTGACAGGAGTCTCAATCCCTCCTGCTATAAAATTGCAACATGATGTAACCTAACACTAGTTCCCATGGTGATCATGACAGACGTCTGGTTCAGGTCATTGGCCTTATTTGGAGAAGAAGAAGAAGAAATAGACCAAAAACAATATGTTTGCCTCCTGCGAAGGTAAAACATAAATACACATGTACAACTATTTGGCGTTATATAGATGCTCAAATATTATCCTTCGTTCAGTTACCTTGATTTACTTTTGTACTTACATGTTAACATGTACATGGTTTATATAAGAAGAAAGTACTGTGAGGGTATTGTCAGGATCAGCACAAACTAAATCTACGGAAATCTTCAAGCAATATGACGATCCTTTGGCGACTTAAGCCAAAATTTTCCGTCTAGGTTCAGAGACGCCGGCTCGCTATCTAACCAAGGGAAGATACCGGTATTTGCCCTTAGGCCACCCCGGGGTACTTCCAGGGAAGTCCTCAGAAATGCCCGGTTGGAGCCAAAGTTGTTGTAACGGTGCCAACTTCTGTAAGGCCACAGCAAGCAATTTTTATGGATGACATCAGCGCGCGCATTAATTTTCGCCTGATTTTGGGAAAAAAACAACAAGAAATTTTGTTGCCTTCTGATAGTGATTAACATGCCGAAAACGGGCAAAGATGTCTGTTGCCATGCCGGAAGGTGAATAGCAGATAACTATGAAGAGAGGAGACAAGAAAAAGCTCTGATTTAATGTTTTTTCTTACGTTGATGCAGTGATATGCGATGTTGTCTCTGTATATGTGATGTTCCCACTGAATCAAAACCATTTTTACAATGATTGAGTCAAAATCTTAAAAAGTAAGAACCTTGTTTTTGTCGGCCCGCCTTGTTTTTTTTCGCCCGCTCACATTAGATTTGGAGTCTGTGGAGGATGTCATCCATAAAATTTACTTGCTGTGGCCTAAAGTTGTGACCCCGGCATGTCGTGCCTCCTCGCCAAGGTAAACCTCAAATCCATTAAACACGGGATATCGCCCGTTATACGTCATCCTTTTGATGACAGCTTTTACATTGTACCTACCGCCTGTTTACACTCATAACACACAAGTTTAGTTCAAGTTCGCTTCAAGAGCAGAATTCTG